TCACATCCCTGATCCAATGTAAAGGGAGTTTCCCTGGGGTGTGGCCTGCACCACCTTTTATCTCTCAAGAGATAAAAGGAAAGGGAAGCAAGCAGAGAATTGGGGACCTCATACCACCAAGAAAGCAGTGCCGGGAGCAGAGCGCGTCCTTTGGACTGGGGTCCCTGTGCCGAGCAGGAGCTAGTCCGGGGGAACGTTGATGAGAAGGCTGACAGAGAGAGAAAAAGGCTTCCCCTGGAGCTGACGCCCTGAATTTGGACTCTTAGCCTACTTTGACTGTGAGGACATAAATTTCTCTTCGTCAAAACCATCCGCTTGTGGTATTTGTGTTATGGCGGCACTAGATCACTAAGACAGTTAGTAAAATTATATGAGAAATAGATTTCCATACTTCATTATTTTCTATTCTCCTTTCTAATTTTCTTTGCATTGGCAAAACTCTGCTTGATAACCAAACACAAAAAAAAAAAATTTTTTTTTTTTGAGTAAAAATTGTCACATTATAAGGTTATGAGTCATGGGAAGGAGATGTTAGAAGCCACATATGTTAAAGATGGAGAGACTGAGGCAGTAGTATTAAGGTTTTAGGAATTAATTATTATAGAACTAGAATCCAGCTTTTGGGGTCTCCAGAAGTAGGCCATTGCACTCCTACTTGTACATGTCTCAAAAAATAGCATTTGTTGAATGGGTATTTGAATTCTTGATGGGCTCTCAATTTCTGCTTCCTCCACTGTTTCGTGTAGAAATCACCCTAGTCTCCTCCCCTCCTAAAGTGACAAAAACAAATAATCCTCCTCCTGACCTTCTAGAGCCCTTGACAATTTACATACCCTGTCACTCTTTTTAAAAACAAAACAAAACAAAAAAACCCACATTTTGTTATTGTGGTAAATATAGAGGTAACAAAAGCTTTGCCATTTCAACAATCTTCACATTCACAGTTCAGTGACATTAAATATGTTCATCATGTTGTTCAACCATTACCATTAACCTGAATTTTTCTGTCACCCTTAACAGAAGCTTAGTGTCCCCGAAGTGTCATGTCATCCTTTCCCCTCCCTCTCAGCCACCCCTAGTAATCCTGTCACTCTTGATAGATGGCCACAGTAGCAGGAAACAACCCCTTATTCCACTGTCATACCTGACCACCTCTCAAAGGAGGTCTTCAGTGAATGTGGAAATTAAGCACATGCCTTTTAATTTTTTTTTCCAGATTATAGTTCAGTAGATATGAAGGAATGTGCTTCCTCAAGTATGAATTTTTTCGTTGTCAAATCATCAAACAGAAAATGCAAGGACTTGGAAAAAGCCTTAAAATCAGCTTCAGGTAAATGAGAGGGGCAATTTGTATTACAAGCATAACCTTCATCCCTGTCTCCTAGGGCTTTTGAAGCTTTAGAGGTGTTGTAGTTTGTGTGTGTCTTCTGTCTATTTGACTATTTGTACCTCTGATCTCTCATTCATGTGTCATAGCAGCGTAACATCATGCAGGGTGGTGAGTTCACTGAGCATCGCCTGTGTATCATACATACGTTTTCAGTGGATACTGCCCTCCTCCTCCATGACATCTGGCAAACAAGCATAGAAAAATGTCAATATTAGGAGAAGGTTCAGTTGAGCTTTGCAACACAGATACTCAGTACTGTTAACGTTTTTGGTGAGTGCCGCTGGTAGTGGTGGTGATGGGGAAGGTGGAGAAGGTGGCAAACAGTCTTTGAATGATTGAGAAAAAAAAAAAACAAAACTCGAAGGGTAAGCTGATCTAGATTGTGAAGGATCTGAGATGCCCTGTTAAAAAGTTTAGATTTCATCCTGATGGCTATAAGGTGCCATTAAAAGATTTTATGCAGGGAGTGATTAGATGAAAATTTACAAAGGAAAGTTGTAGGGAAAGAAGAGGGACTGAGAAGGGATAGTCTAAGAGGATAAGAAGCAGAAGAGATCAGATCATAGAAAATAGAGCAGAGAGTGGTCAACGGGGAGAAATGCTAGAGAATCAAGTAAGATAAGGATTGAAAAATGTTCTTTGAATGTAGCGAATAATAGCTAACTGCCTTTAAAGAGATTCTGTAGTGTGGTAGGACTGGAAGCAAGGCTACAGTGTATTGTGTGAGCTCAGGGACAGAGTGGTATTAGAATATAAATTTTCTTGGGGTGATGGCAAAAATGAGGGTGAAAGTGAAGACTGACCCAGATGTCAAAGTTGTCAGCAAGTTAGCAGGGATTCTTGGGATATTGTTAGATGACTGCAAGAAAGAGGAAGACAGAGTAGTAAAACCAGGTTTATTTACTCATTCAGTTCCTTCATTCACCAACTATTTATGGAGTCCTGGGTGGCGCAAATGGTTAGCGCACTTGGCTACTAACCGAAAGGTTGGCAGTTCTAATCTACCCAGAGGTGCCTCAGAAGAAAGGTCTGGCAATCTACTTCTGAAAAATCAGCCATTGAAAACCCTACGTTTTTCTACACTGACGCACACGGGGTTGCCGTGAGTTGGAATTGACTCAATGGCAACTGGTGGTGGTGATGATGTAGTAAGTGCCAGGAATTGTTCTAGGCCCTGGGGATACAGCAATGAATGTGACAGAGAAAGTATCTGTCTTCATGAAGCTGATATGACAGAGGAGGATAAGTTTTGAAACAAGGTGAAAAAATAATGATTTGGAAATAGAAATGGAAGTGGGAATGTTGAAACATATTGACGTCAGTCATCAGCTGGGCTGGTGATTAGAAGCTGCTCACCTATTTTATTTTGTATTTGACAAACACATAACACTTACTAAGTGCCAGGCACAGCTTTAAGTGATTTATAAAAGTTAACCATTTCTTCTACCTAAGAGGTACATACTGTTCGTTTTCTTATTTTACAGATGAGGACACTGAGGCACAGAAAAATGTCCCAAGAGCATAGTTAGTAGAGTCAGACACCTGATTCAGATGCAGGAAACAGGTCTGCACATCTGGGCTCTTCTCTGTTGCACCAGGCTGCCTTTCCTAGTGTGAGCTGGGGAGCCCACTGGGGTATAGAGAGAGAGGCTACAGCTCATGCTTCTGGAGGGACTGTCTGGAGGAAACTGAAAACCTACTATGGTTTAAATTAAGTGCTCATCTGCTAACTGAAAGGTCAGCAGTTTGAACCCACCAGCTGCTCTGTGGGAAAAAGACCTGGTGATCTACTCTCATAAAGATTAAACAAAAAAAAAAAAAACACAAAAAAACCCCCACAAACTTGTTGCCATCCAGTTCATTCTGACTCATAGCGACCCTGTAGGACGGAGTAGAAATGCCGCATAGGGTTTCAAAGGGGTAGCTGGTGGATTCGAACTGCTGACCTTTAGGTTAGCAGCCAAGCTCTTAACCACTGCACCACCAGGGCTCCAACTGCATAAAGATTACAGCCTTGGAAACCCTATGGAACAGTTCTGCTCTGTCCTATACGGTTGCTATGAGTCGGAATCGACTCGACGGCAGCAGATTTGGTTTTTGGTTCTAATGAAGCGTCTCATGTCAGACACTAGATTGTTTTTAAATACTTGATAGACCTTTCACTTTCACGTCCTCATTTTCACTTCATTTGTGCATTCTGCCTTATTTCATTTGATTTCTCCTTGTATAGGAACCGAGGGCAATGTGTTGCGAGGAGACCCATTCGTCAGAGGGGGAAGTTCAGGCTTCATAGCTGGCCTTAGTTTCCTAGAGCTGGACAATCCTGCTGGAAACAAAAGGCGGTATTCTGAGTGGGCAGGATCTGTGACTAATCTTCCCCAAGTCATAAAACAAAAGGTATGTGATGCTCTGTTGAAAGCAGCAGGAGGCCATTGAGAAAATGAGATTAAATCAAGGTGGTTAAACAGAGACTGCTGTGATTAGCATTTTCTGTATCCCAGTTGTGTTTTGTATAATGAAACGCATGTATACATAATAATAAGAAACAGTAGGTGCGTTATCTGGTATGTGCACATTTCAATTGCAAAGGATAAATGTTTTGTAAACCCCCAAAGGAAATTAATGACAAAATTGACATTTTTTTTTTTTTTTACTTATGACCTAGATTTGATTATGTTTTCCTCAATCCCAAATTCAGAGGAGTTTTCGATTTGTGCCAGTGGAAGGCATTTAGGTTTGTCTACTGTTACATCTGTCAGACTACCTTTCTTCCTGTGGCCACGGTTTATAGGGTTCTAGAGTAATACAAATAAAGATAGAACCAATCTGGCTGGCAGAATTTTTGGATGTCTCATTGATCCAGTTAGTTCTTTCATAACGTAACATATGTGTCCTAAAAATCATGGTGTTAAGCAAAATTGCACAATAAAAACCACAGGGTTCATGGGAAAAATGGGATTGGGGCACAATACTAAAACACTTCATCTATGACACTCATAAAAAGAGAGTACTAGTACCAGTACCAGTTGCCTTTGAGTTGACTTCAACTTATGGTGACTCCACGTGTGTCAGAGTAGAACTGTGCCCCATAGGGTTTTCAGTAGCTGATTTTTTTTCCAGAAGTAGATTGCCGGGCCTTTCTTCTGGGGCACCTCTAGTAGACTTGAATCTCCAACCTTCCAGTTAGTAGCTTAGTGCACTAACTGTTTACACCACCCTAGGATCCCTAGAAAAGATACCAGACCAAAACCTGTTGCCATCAAGTCAATTCTGACTCATAGCAACGCTATAGGACACAGTAGAACTGCCCCACAGGGTTTCCAAGGAGCGCCTGGTGGATTCGAACTGCTGACCTTTTGGTTAGGAACTGTAGCTCTTAACCGCAACTTCATAGGTACCAAAAAAAACAGTAGCACAGTTTTACACATGTTAATTTGTTAAGCAATGCACAAATACTGCAATAAATGTGGCACATTACCTTGAAAAAGACCTGAAGCTTGCTTGTGGAAATGGATGATGGAAGGGTTACAGCTTGTAAATTATTGTGAAGTGGTGGAAAGAGAATACTCTGAAAACCAGAATGACAATTGTAACACCAGCTATGGATGGAGGTGGTTTATAACACAGGTGGTGAACTGAGGGAGATGTGGGTGTGTGCATTTCGTGTATTCCTACACAGCTCTGCTCAGCTGTGTACAATTTTCTGTGTTCACCTAGTGTTTCTTGTGGACGAAATAATACATAAGCAAATGCAAAATTTGTTTAATGTTCAAATGGTTCCCTTATGATATATCAATCGCAAATGAACAACTTTACATTTTCAAAACAAACGTCACAGCAGAACTGACTATGTATGATCTATTCCTTGCCGGGAGAGTCAAGCAATGCCCCAGGCAAAGCCTGACTTTCAGAGTTAAAGAGTTGTGGACACCTTTCACAAACTCAAGAATTACAATAACTCCTTAAATACCCTTCTAACATAATACTGCACACACTTGCCTCCAAATTAGGGTGAGGGTGGGAGGCAAAGTTTTTCCTGAGAAGTCTTATTTTAAAGTCTGAATATTCAACAAGGTCTATATCCCTTGTCGATATCTCATGCAAATCTTTAAAAATTCTGAATTGTTGCTTAGGGAAAAAGAGACATTCTTTCCCATTCTCAAACATGCAGTTTTCCACACAAGACTGTGACCATCATAGCTGGGCAGGAAGGGAACAAAGAAAAGACAGTATGCAACTATATGACCATGCAAAGCCACACTGTTCAGAAGATCTTGGGCAGAGATGGAGCGAACTGTACCTGACTCTTGGTGATGTCCTTACTCTAAGTGGTGTGCTGCAGCCTACTCGTACTGACTCTCTCTCCAGCTAATGGTAGTATTTTCCAACTCTGTGTTCAGTGACGTCATGATGGTAGCTTGAAATCAGCCATGGTGAGAGTGGGTTACACCTCAGAAATTGGCAAACACTACAAACCAGAGCCTCTTTGTTCCTTGGACAGTAGGCTGATACATCTTTACCATCACGTCTGTGATCGCAAAGATGCTTTCATCTGGAATACCCAACACAGAACAATACTGTCTACCTATTTTAAAAATTCTCCAGGAGGAGAGATTCCATGGTCTCCACGAGAGAGACGTGCTAAGCTTCTCAGAGTTAAGACATGTGTTCCTAAGTTTAGTTGCACTTGCTTCTTTGCCGGAATTTAGGTGCATTTCCTTTTCTTCTTTCCTCTACTGCAGTGAAAATGTATTGTCCTCAAAATAATCTTTCATTAACTGGAAAATGATTGTCCCGTTCTTTTTTTTGTTTTAAATTTATACACGTACCAAAAATATTCCTCCTTTACTAGAATGTGATTTCCTTAGGTTTGTTTTGATTTTGTTGCAAAGACAGTGAATTACTCTCTTTTTTAAATTGAACAAGAAACAATAGGAGTTGACATAAGGGTGGCTTTTGATTTAGTTTTAATGGGGATTAAGCCTAAGTGCCAAAAGGAAAATATTCGTGCCTAAATCACAGATTGCTGACTCTGATGTCTTTTTCTTTGTAGCTGACACCTCTATATGAGCTGGTAAAGGAAGTGCCCTGTGCCTCTGTGAAAAGACTCTACCTGAAACGTGCTTTGGAGGAGTATGTGGATGAATTTGACCCCTGCCATTGCCGGCCTTGTCAAAATGGTGGCATAGCCACTGTTGAAGGGACCCAGTGTCAGTGCCATTGCAAACCATACACATTTGGTGTGGCATGTGAGCAAGGAGTCCTCGTAGGGAATCGGGCAGGTCAGTGCACTGGATTGTCTCTGATCAGGCCGGACACATTAGAATGGGAATTGCCTGTTCTCTGTGGCCCCTGAGATTTTACATCTTTGTGAGAGGTGAAAGTCTCACTGGTGTTTGAATTTAGTGTTTTTCTCCCTTCACCACTTCCATATTATTGTTACTGTGGTCAAGGCTCTTTGCTGTCTCTCTATTTTCCTGTTTGAACAGAACCACCATGCCCTCCACACCCCATTCTTCAGAAAACAGAACTATCCCTAAAACATCTTCTATCCTTCCACAGTTGTCTCATTAAGGTTTTGTCTATTATAGGTCTCTACAGCTTGTGTTTGCATTGCCCAACTGTTATGGTAAACTCTTTGAAGCATCTTTATTTCTATTTTGTATTATGTAAAATCAATCAATCATTTACAAATATTTATTGAACATCTGCTGTGCGCTCAGCCGTGTGCTTGGTGCTTCGAGCACTTAGTACAGGGCTATGTGAAGTTGACTTTATGTGTAGGCAGAATATGACTACAATTTACGTATCTAAATTTTTATTTATTTTTATATTTATATGTACATTTTTTCCACTAGAAAGCTCATTCCTTCAGGGCTATTTGATGGCTTTCTTTACTCCCAGAGCGTAACATAGGACTTGATTCATAGAAGTCACTAAATAAAGGTTTGATTAATGAATACATGACTGAATTATGGTTGCTTATGGACAAGCATCAGGAAGGCATCCTTGTTCCTAAGTATCTCCCCAAATATTCCCTAAATATCTTACTTGTATTGTGATTCATTCTTTTGTGCCTTGGATTTTCGGTTATTTGTTAAAATGAAAGTACCCCTAACTGGTAAGTGTTGGGAGAGTAATCAAAACATATTAACCTATTATTATACCCCCTATTAATATCCTGAATCCCTGGGTAGTGCAAACAGTTAATTGTTTGGCCACTAATTGAAAGGTTGGCAGTTTGAATCCACCCAGAGGTGCTTCAGAAGAAGGGCCTGGTGATCTGCTTCCAAAGATCACAGCCATGAAAACCCTATGGAGCGTTCTACTCTACACACATGGGGTCATCATGAGTTGGAATTGACTTAAAAATGGAAACTTAAAAAATATATATATACTCAGGGGACTACTTTATTAAATCAATTTCTAATTATGACAGCATAAGGAAGGCCATGGGAAAATATGCAAATTAGTTTTGTTTTGGTGTGTGATACTGAGGAGAGGATGTGGAGTAAAGGGAAGAAAGGGGTGCAGTTTATACAAGGTAGAAAGAGTTAGGGAGCAGTAACCCATCCATCTATTACCAGGATATAATCCTTCGGGGGAATGGTTTCTGAGATCACTTTCTAACTAGGAAAGCAAGGTTCTTAGAATGGGGTGCAAATTCCTTTTTGTCACCCCAAGGGAAAAGAGCCCTGGTGGTGCAGTGGTTAAGTTGCTTGGCTTGAACCCACGAGCCACTCTGTGGGAGAAAGATGTGGCAGTCTGCTTCTGTAAAGATTACAGCCTGGCAAACCCTATGGGGCAATTCTAGTCTGTCCTATAGGGTGGCTATGAGTTGGAATTGTTTGGTTTTGGTTTTACCCAGGGGATAAGATGGGGGAAATACTTGAAATGTGGGTCTTGAATAGGTCCCTAGGACAGACGGTGGTCAGGGTGAGTTGAGGAAGTGCCTGTAGATTGGAGAAAGATGCTGAAAGGAGGTAAAAGAAGTGATTTTAAAAGAACTTCTCCTACTTACGTATTTCCTCATTTTGTATGTACAATGCCAGCTCCGGGGTAAGCAGCCTGGGAGTACCCAGTAGTGTACATTCTTCCCGTGCTCAGTCATTGCTTTAAAAATAGGAGCTCACCTTATTGAGAGACTGGGGGGTGATAATAAGAGCCGGGGGTTACTCAGCCAGAAGATTGGGGTTACTGTCTGGGATGTGCCCCTTGCCAGCCATTAGAACCTTGGGCGTGGCATTTAGCCACTTACTCTTAGTTTCCTCATCTCTTAAATGGGGATGTAACAGACCTCCTGCTCACCTCAGTTCATTGTTGTGAGAAGTGAATAAATGATACAACATGCATTAAAGTGCTTTGAAAGAGCCGCATTACTGTTAGAAGGATGCAAATGCATCCTTAACATTGATGTGTAGAGACAGTCTGGCGATTCTAGAAAACCCCAGGGAACAGAGTGAAAGTAAAATATCTCCAAAGCCTTTCCCCCAGTAGACAGGAAGCATAGAGCTAAGCTTTGGAATCGTCCTCTCTCTGTACTTACAGAAGATCTCTTATACCTTACAGGAGGGGTTGATGGAGGTTGGAGCTGCTGGTCCCCTTGGGGCCCCTGCGTTCAAGGGAAGAAAACAAGGAGCCGAGAATGCAATAACCCTCCTCCCAGTGGGGGAGGGCAATCCTGTATTGGAGAAACGTCAGAAAGCAGGCAATGCGAAGATGAGGAGTTGCAGCATTTTCGGTAATGAAGACCAGAGTTCCTGGCAGTTACATGCAACACAGTGCCTTATGCAGTAAATGTGGACTATTGGTTGCTGCTTTTGAAAGCTTTAAGAGTTAAATGGCTATTTTTATCAGTGACCGCTTCACCCCTTAGCACTGTGGTCAGCGGAAGGAGGGAAACCCCTGCAGCCAACTTGCACTCAAGTGCTTCCGATTTTTCTGAGCCAGTGTTACAAAGGGCTGCAACTGGCAGCAGTCCCGCTGAGTGGATCAGAGCAGCAGCCTTGGCATCAGATGGACCTGCCACTTACTAGTTGTGTGACCTTGGGCATGTGGCTTGCCGTACTTCTAAAATGAGGATAATGTTGTTGTTGTTGTTAGGTGCTGTCGGGTCGGTTCTGACTCACAGGGACCCTATGTGCAACAGAATGAAACACTGCCCAGTCCTGCGTTCTCCTCACAATTGTTGCTATGCTTGAGCCCATTGTTGCGGTCACAGTGTCAATCCATCTCCTTGAGGGTCTTCCTCTCTTTTGCTGACCCTCTACTTTACCAAGCATGATGTCCTTCTCCAGGGACTGGTCCTTCCTGATAACATGTCCAAACTATGTGAGATATAGTCTCGCCATCCTTGCCTCTAAGGAGCATTCTGGCTGTACTTCTGCCAAGACAGATTGGTTCGCTGTTTCGGCAGTCCATGGTATATTCAATATTCTTTGCCAAGACCATAATTCAAAGGCATCAATTCTTCTTCAGTTTTCCTTATTCGTTGCCCAGCTTTTGCATGCATTTGAGGCAATTGAAAACACTACGGCTTGAGTCAGGCACACCTTAGTCTTTAAAGAGACATCTTTGCTTTTCAACACTTTAAAGATAGAATGAGTATAATAGTAGTGGATAAAATGATAATAGGATGTTGTCAGGATTTAATGCGATTAAGTGCTTAGTACAGTGCCTGGTACAGAGTAAGCATTTAATAAATATTAGCTAATATTGCTTTTCAGATATACCACTGACTATCATTATTGCTGGAGCCCTGGTGGCGTGGTGGTTAAGAGCTTGGCTGCTAACCAAAAGATCGGCAGTTAGAATCCACCAGCTGCTCCTTGGAGACCCTATGAGGCAGTTTTGTCTTATAAGGTCGCTATGAGTCAGACTGCAGTGGGTATTATTATTGCTATTTGATTAAGCATATACACAGACACTTGCAGTGGATAATATCCCAACTGATTAGCCAGCCCAGTAGTTTGCCACCAACTTCTCGTTTTTCAGGACCTTGCAGAAGCTATCTCAAAAGAGCTTAATTGATGAATCCAACCTCTAGGTCGAATTCTTTATGCCAGACCCTACTGTCTTACACTGTCTTTATTAACATCTTCTAATCAGGACTTTGACAAAAAGTTCAAGTAAGATAATTTGAAGGCCATTTGAGTTGAAGAAAGAGGTGAGACATTTGGGAATTTGGTTGAAGCTTGGGGTGGGGGCAGGGGGAGTGGGGTGTCTCATTCCAAGGTCTTTGGTTCCTCGAAATCTGACAGTTGCCAATATCTCTTGACCAAGGAAGGTGGCAAACATGTGGGATTACTGTGGGAAGAGAATGCTAGGCCTTAGGGAGGATGAGAGCCTTGGCGGAGGTCTCTGACCAAGTGAGCATATTTCCGAAAGCTGAAGGGAAGGGAGCACCTTGAAAAGGTCGTTGAAGGAGTTTTCACTTTTTGGTGCTCAGGGGAGTGGAAATATTCTCCTCTGTACAAACAGGAAAATTTTGGTCACTGCTTCACATTCTGGGGTTTCCTGAGTGTTGTAAGAGTATAGGGAACTCAGCTGAGAAGGAGGTACCTCTTATAGGCTATTTGTAATGCTTTAACTCAGATATCCTATCTCTAGTGCGGAGATAATTCTGGTGGTATACTGACCTCAGAGGTCCTTGAAAATCATTGCATAATGGTGGATGCCATCTGTCTGACTCATCTAGTGCTGCTATAACAGAAATACCAGAAGTAGATGGCTTTAACAAAGAGAAATTTATTTTCTCGCAGTCTAGTAGGCTAGAAGTCCGAATTCAGGGTGTTAGCTCCTGGGGAAGGCTTTCTCTTTCTGTTGGCTCTTGAAGAAGGTCCTTGCCATCAATTTTCCCCTGGACTCGGAGCTTCTCCATGCAGGAACCCCAAGTCCAAAGGACACACTCTGCTCCTGGCATTGCTTTCTTGGTGGTATGGTATGAGGTCCGCCACTCTCTACTCATTTCCCTTTTCTTTTGTCTCTTGTAAGATAAAAGGTGGTGCAGCCACACCCCAGGGAAACTCCTTTTATATTGGATCAGGGGTGTGACCTTAGTAAGGGTGTTACAATCCCACTCTAATCCTCTTTAGCATAAAACTACAATCACAAAATGGAGGACAGCCACACAATACTGGGAATCATGGCCTAACCGAGTTGACACATATTTTTGTGGGACACAATTCAATCCATGACACCATCATTATCATTATCATGATTATTGCTCTCCCTAGAGATGGTCACGGTGATGGTGACGTGTCAAGACTCTGGATTGGTAAGATGGTTTTAGGGCTTTTATTCCTTCATCTTCCTCTTAGGCTTAGGATTCCTGCCCTAAACCTGATCAAAACTTGCTTTCAGCAAAGAGTCTGTTATCAGTCACACATACTTCTGAAAAATGTAGACACTCTGTGACTCCTTGTTCTCTCTCATTGCCTTATGAGAGGTAGGAAGAGCATGATTTTAGGAACCTAACCCACTGCACTTGAATCCAGCCTTGGTGTTATTAGTTTATAACCTTGGACAAGTTATTCACATTTTACGAGCCTGTGTTTTCTCCATGTTATCCTATAGGTTTGCTGTGAGTATGAATTGAGATAATGTAGAGGAACTGTCAAGGAGCCCTGGTGGCACAGTAGTTAAGCGCTCAGCTGCTAACTGAAAGGTCGACAGTTCAAACCCACCAGTGGCTTTTCTTCCATGGGAGAAAAGGCCTGGCGATCTGCTTCCGTAAAGATTACAGCCTAGGAAACCCTATGGGACTGTTCTACTCTGTCCTATAGGGTCACCATAAGTTGGAATTGACTTGACAGCACCCAACAAAAGGGACTGCTGTGATACCTAACCAAACCAAAAACCAAACCCATTGCCATCGAGTCGATTCCAACTCATAGTGGCCCTATAGGACAGAGTAGAACTGCCCCATAGGGTTTTCAAGGAGTGGCTGGTAGATTCGAACTGCCAATCTTTTAGTTAATAGCTGTAGCTCTTAACCACCATGTCACCTAGTAAATGCTCAGTAAAAGCTAGTTATTATTTGGTGCTCTCTGGCGGGATCACTAACTCAAATTGCTTATTTTAAGGACAGAATTAAATTAGTGTTAAGGGGAAATTTGAGTGCAAATATCAGGAGATTAAGTACTTTTTGAGCCAGTTGACCTCCAGAAATCACATAAAGTAGGTGTGTTATCCAATGACAAGTATTTATTTTCTTTCCATTCTTTCTGTCTGTGTTTTCATATTACTGACCCGGTAGGTGTTTTTCTAGCTTGAGTTTACATTTGAGTTTTCTATCGTAGGATGTGATAAGATAGTTGGTTCTGAAAATGACAAAAATATCACATCAATGTGACTACATGATGTGAATGAAAAATTTACTGTAGTGCAAAATATTTATTAAACTGTGGAAAGCAATCGCATTGATTACATGTTTCCTCTTCCTTTCAGAACACTTGAACCACATTGTTTTCCTTTGTCTTTGGTTCCAACAGAATTCTGTCCATCACCCCCTGCCTTGAAAGACGGATTTGTTCAAGTTGGTTATATAAGATACTTTTTGTTTTCTTTTGCATATACTCTTTGCTCCAAATTCCATTTCTCTACTGATGCCATAATCTATTTCCTTCTGCCATGGTGAAACAGTGCTAACAATGTTTTATGTGAGCATTTTACATTTAGTCGTGTGGGTTTTAGTCTGTGACTTTTCCTCTTTGGCCCAAGGTGATTACAATTCTGCAGAAGGCAGTATGTCTTCTAGGGTAAGGGAAATCGATATTACTACCCAGTGAATTAAAAATTTAATCATGCCAGAGGGTAACTAAACATTTCCACACTGGACATTAAAATAGGAATCTAAAAGCAAGTTCTTCAATTTAGAGAACTTTTCTTATTCTTGCCATTGAAAGAGGCCTTTTTTTCCCCATAAATATGGAGACTTGGGATGAAATATTAGTTTTATTCCCGGAGCTGATAAGACATTTAGCCAGTGTCTGGTGAGATATGGGTCATTGTACCTTAAGCAATTTTCTTTTTCAGGAAGAAACATGAGTCACTTGCCAGTTGTCACATGGAGAATTTTTTTTGGCTTCAGGGCCATATTAATTAGTACTGGCCTCACTCCTTGGCTTTGTATCCAAATCCCAGTGAAGTCTCTTCATGGCTCACACAGTGGGTATTGTTTATCAGGACTCTCAATACTACCAGCCTTGCTTTCTCCATGAAGGATTTTTTCTCCCAAATTCCAGGCGTCTGAGCATACATGCTAAGAGATGGCTGTTAAAAAAAAAACAAAAAACAAAACAAACACATTACCATCAAGTCGATTCTGACTCATAGTGACCCTATAGGACAGAGCAGAACTGCCCTACGGGGTTTCCAAGGTTGTAATCTTTATGGGAGCACACTGCCACATCTTTCTCTCCCGGAGTAGCTGGTGGGTTTGAACCACTGACCTTTTGGTTAGCAGCCTAGGGTTTAACCATGTACCACCAGGGCTCCTTAAGAGTCTGCTGTAGTTTCCCCAAATGTAGGTCCTAATGGGAGATGGAAGTGGTGTGGATGTGTGTGGAGAGGAGAAGGGGAGAGGGGAGAGTGAGAGAGAGAGAGAGAGACAGAAAAAATGAAACTACCATCTCTAACATCCATTCTGCCCCACCACAGTCACCACAATTCCTGAAGGTTCTGATGTTTCTAAGGGAAACTTATGCTCAGAAAATGAGGCCAAGCAAACACATATGATTTAGCAAACCATGAAGCTGTTGTCCCAAACTCTAGTGCATGCAGTGCCCTGTAAGGAGCCATGGGCTCTGTCTTAGTCATCTAGTGCTGCTATAACAGAAATACCACAAGTGGATGGTTTTAATGGGAGAAGTTTATTTCCTCACAGTGAAAGTAGGCTTAAAGTCCAAATTCAGGGCATCACCTCCAGAGGAAGGCTTTCTCTCTCTCGGCCTTCTCATCAGTGTTCCCCCAGACTAGGAGCTTCTCTGCATAGTGACCCGGGTCCAAAGGACGCGCTCTGCTCCCGGCACTGCTTTCTTGATGGTATGAGGTCCCCCGTCTCTCTGCTCACTTCTGTCTTTTATATCTCAAGAGATTGCCTCAGGACACAATCTAATCTTGTAGATTGAGTCCTGCCTTACTAACACAACTGCCACCCATCCTCCCTCATTAACATCATAAGGCTGGATTAAAACATATAGGAAAATCACACAATGCCAGGAATCATGGCCCAGCCAAATTGATACACACATTTTTTGGGGGATATAATTCAAACCATGACAGGCTCCAAACATAGCTCCACGGTCTAGTTACATCTGAGTTACCTGGGGAACTTAAAAATAGAGATTGATGCCTGCCCCTCATCCTCAATTTCTGATTTAGAAGCTCTGGGAATCTGTATTTTATCAAATTGCTACAAGTGGTTCTGATACAGAGCCAGGTTTGACCACTGTTGAGTTAGACCTCCCTATATGGAAGTCCTTCTGAGAGGTTAAGGAAGACCTAAGGGCTAGAACCAAAGCAGGCCAAGTGTCCTTCTTTGCCACATTTTTCTCAAACCTCAACATGAACCCAGGCCCTCTTTTTCTAAACACTGCCATGAATGCAGCAGCCAGGCTGAGCCAAGAGGAGCAAGACTGACAATGAGAAGAAGCAGACACTAGAGAATTTTGTCCTAATGCCTAGAGCGTTGTTGGTGTAGGTACCAGTTCCAAGCCCTCTCCCTGAGTTTCTTCACTATCATTTTGGATAGGAGAGAACCAGATAGGCAAGGAAAGGGGCCAAGAGATACTCCAAAGAGCATGATGATCCCCTCACAGGCTCAGACTTCAAATTCTTCCTTGCTTCACCATGAAAGCTTACCTCCTGGTACTATAGGCTAATGAAATGTCCTTGAATCTGACCAACCCCAGCAGCGCTTCCCTTACTGGGGGGAGTTGGAGGGTAGGGTAGGAGAAGATCAACGCTATGCTTCCCCTAAAAGTTTTCAGTGACAAACTTAAACTTCAATGAACATGCTGATAGGATTTGAGTATTTCTGACTATTCATAATGGCACTTATTAGGCGGTGCAAACAGTTAATGCGTTTGGCTGCTAACCAAAAGGTTGACGGTTCAAGTTCAGTCACAAGGCCTCAGAAAAGAGGCCTGGTGACCTACTTCTGAAAAATCAGCCATTGAAAACCCTATGGAACAAAGTTCTACTCTGACACACTTGAGGTCACCATGAGTTGGAATCGACTTGGTGGCAACTTTTTTTGTTTTTTTGGTTTATTGTCAATGAATATACATAACACCTTAATATGTTTCCAGAAACTAGTAACAAACTGTTTTTTCCTAAAAATACAAGGGAAAGAAGTTACTTGGGCAGTTCTCATTAAAATAACTTTAGTGAAATGTGTAACACAGTGCTTGGTATTTTTTAAAGCAATCAACATAATATAGTGCCATTAATGGCCTTATTTCATTTATGGTGGTGTTGGTGTTGTTGACTAGGACTATATTGGGGAAAATGTTTTTATAGACAATTTTCTACATCAGTTATTTGAATGTAGGTTGCCTGATGATTTAAAAAAGGTACATTTTCTGGGCAGAATATATCTAAAGAACCATTTTATTAATGGAAAATAGACAAACATACCTCTCTCCATCTTTTATTTTTGTGTAGAGTGAAGTTGCCACGTTTCCTGTTGGGATAAACATAGTGTACACTTGCAATGGAGGCTATTCTCTTATTGGAGACCCTGTTGCCAGATGTGGAGAAGATTTAAAGTGGCTTGTTGGAGAAATGCATTGTCAGAGTGAGTAGCCTTGGTTGTAGCATATAATTTAAAAAGAGAGAATGCTGTGGAAGAGAATGAATCAAGATAAATAACCACTCACTGTATGCCCCATGTCTTGACCTCTCTTTCCTGAGAGGCAGACATGATCCTGTCCAAGTTTCAGTAGTGCCCTGAATAAGCCCTCAGCATTCTCTAGTTGGGAGCCGTGGTGGCCCAATGGTTAAGCACTTGGCTGCTAACAGAAAGGTTGGTGGTTCAAACCCACCCAGCAGCTCCTCAGGAGAAAGACCTGGTGATCTGCTCCTGCAAAAATTACAGCCTAGAAAACCCTACAAGACAGTTCTACTTTGTCCTATAGGGTCATTATGAGTTGGAATTGACTCGATGGCACTCAACAAGAACCTATAGTCTAACTGTTTTTATTCAATCTTCAGTTTTGAAGAATATTTTTACTAGGTAAGATGTTCTGGGTTAGCAGTTATGTTCTTTAAGTCCTTTGAAGACGTTACTACATTGCCTTCTAACTTCATTGTTTCTAGTGAGAAGTCAGCTGTCAGTCTTACTGTTTCTCCTTTGGAAATCATGAATTTTTTCTCTTGTTTTTAAGATTTTTTTTGTCTTTGTTTTTCAGCAGGTTTACTCTGATGTACCCAGGTGTGATTTTTTTTTTTTTTTTTTGTATTTATCCTGACTGATGTTCAAAGCACTTCTTAAATCTGTGCTTTAATGCCTTTTGTCAGTTTTAGAAAATTCTTGACCTCTCATATGACTCCTGTCCCATTCTTGAGCCTCTCTTAATGAGATGCAAACTATATATATTTTTTTAGGCCATATGATTTCTTACATTTTTTTCTGTGTTTTCCATTTCTTTTTCTCTCTGTGTTTCATTTTAAATATTTTGTATTGACCTATCTCCCAGTTTATTATTAATTCTCTGCACAGTCGTATGTAATCTGCTGTTAAGAATCTACTGAGTTCTTAATTTCATCTTTTCAGTTCTATATATATTCCTTTTGTTTCTTTTTTTTTAATACTTTCTGGTTTTATGTTGAGATTCTCAATCTTGTCATTTAATTTTTTTCAACATATTAATCACAATTATGTCAAGATCCATATCTGTTAACAAAATAATCTGGATCTCCTGTGTGTCTATTTCTACTGTTGTTTTTTAGATTGGATTTTGGTGAATTCTTATCTTTTTGAATGTCTGATTAGTTTTGACTGAATGCCAGAAATTATGTGTGAAACACTGATGGAATAATTTTAGGCTTTGGACAATGTTATCTTCCTCTAGAGAAGATTTAACTTTGTTTCTGTCAGGCAGTTAGGGAGGAATACAGTCAGGATTTGAGCTAATTTGAAATTATTCTTCAGTCTTCATTATTGTTGTTTTTTTCTTTTCTGGTTTACCTTTACTTTTAGGATATAGCCATAAAGGGATTCCAACTGAGAGTACAAGGTTTCTACCTAGGCCTCTCCTTTTTTGCAGAACTGGTCTCCAAATTTTAGACTCTCTAACCCTGTAAGACTGCCAAAAACACTACTCAGTTTTCAGCCTCTGAGCTGCAGCTTTCTCCTCAATTTGGCAGCCTTTCAGATTTTTTTTCTTCAAATTTTCAAATATACAAGGAGAATACCATTATCAAATGTTGTAGTCACCATGTTAGGCTTCCCTTCTCTCTGTAATCTTGAACTTTCAAGCTTCCACTGCCTTGGTAGCTCTGTGATTCCCTCAAAAATATTTTTATTCTTTTAATTTTGTACAGCTTTTCTACCTGTTTTTGGTGAAAGTGTGAATGTGGAACCAGCAAATATGTCATGACCAGACGCAAAGAAATCCAATGATAGATGATTTGCTTTTTGAGAGCAAAATGTGACTTATAACTTGTGATCCCAGCAGCATGCAGCATTTTGGAAAAATGTAGGCACTCAACAAGTGGTTTTTTGAATGAATGAATGAATGAATGAATGAATGAATGTGTTCTCTGATGAAAATGATCACGAAATAGAGCAGAATTTTTCTTATGCTGTCTAGACTTTCTGGAGCAATAGAGGCTAGATGAACCCCCAAAACTATTGCTCTGAGATAATCTTTAAGCCTTAAACCAAAATTATCCCCTGAAGCCTTCTTAAACCAAACAGCACCTCCAAAGATTAGATAGGAAACTTAGGTGGCAGTGAGTTTATGTTAATGGAGGAGGAACAATTCGGAAAAGGAAGGTGAGAAGGATTGCACAGTTTGAAGAATGTAATCAATGTTGTTGAATTGTACATGTAGAAAATATTGAATTGGTGTATGTTCTGCTGTGTAGATTCTCAACAACAAAAAAATAAAAAATAAATAAAATAAATGGGTAACTATTAAGAAAATAAAAAAAAGAAGTAGAGCAGAATTTTGTAGAATATTGTCCAAAGTCCATTAGGGAGATTGTCAAGATTTTTTGTTTTAATCATGACTCCTGATTTGCATGTTTCTCATTTTTCTTTTTGCTGTTTTTTTCAAGTAGAAGACTTGAGCTAATGATTGTAATTGACTAGGAAAAAAATAGAGATAGGGAACAAAAAAAAAATTGAACACTTTTATAGTTTCAAGTTTAAATAAAGTCAGTCCTTTAAAAATTTCAGATAGTAAAATATCTAATTTGGCATATGTTAATGGTATGCAAATGTAGCAGAATATGGAAAAATTCTGGTGGGATCTCACATGGCCAGAGAGATAAGTGACTGCAGTGAAAAGTCTAGTTACAACAGCAGCCTGGTTTTCGTCTTTGGTTATTCATTGGTCAGCTACATGCCAGGCACTGTGGGAAGTGTCATTCAGGGCACCCTAAGAGTGAACTTACCCTTCTTCCTCGTTCTAATGTTATGAAAAAGAACAAGTGTATCGGTACCAATCAAAGTTGTCATCCTTAAAAAAGATGGTTTAGAAAAGCAATGACCCTTGTATTCTGCTCCCTTTTGTATTTAGAAATAGCCTGTGTCCTACCTGCACTGATGAATGGCATGCAGAGCCATCCCCATAAGCTCTTCTACCAAGTGGGTGAGAAGGTGACCTTTTCCTGTCCAAGTGGCATGTCCTTAGGAGGTCCTTCCGTCTTTCTCTGTGGCTCCAGCCTTAAGTGGAGCCCTGAGATGAAGAATGTCCAGTGCGTGCATAAAGGTGAGCTGCTCCCCGCGTCTGTCCAAGGGCATCTTTCCTAAGGTGGGTGAGAGTCCTTTCAGCCGTCCCTCATGACCCATTCACCCCCCATCACTGTAGTCATTCCCCCTTCCCTGCCCCTTTATGGGAAGCAGGCCAGTTTGTAGGCTGAGCAACCGATTTTCTTCACGTGACACGGATGAACTCATGGAATGCAAACAAAGGCAAGAGTAGTCCTGGTGATTCTGAAACGTCTACCTTAAATCCTCCATACGAAATATGAGCTCTTTATAGCTGTTATGGTGCCAAGAAAATAAAGGATTTTGTAGAGAGCTGGTTTTTGATTTCTTCCTTTTTTTTTTCTCCTCTTACACTTTTACTAAGTACAGAGTTGAAATTGTAATTTATGTAAAATTCTGTGTGCTCACTTCTGGGTTTTCAGAGCGTTGATCAGTATTACTGAAATTGAAAATTTAATTTTAATTGAAAAATTGACACTGCAAAGCAAAAGTTATAAGAGAAAAAGTTGTGCTTTGTGAAGTTGTTCTTAATATTGGAAACATCTAAATCCAGTATTTTGAACACCAGGCAAATTAAAATGGTCTTTTAAGAAATTAGGCAGGAAGAATTTTGAAAGCCAAAGTATTTCTTTTTAAAGAATATTTGAGATGGAAAGGATTTGTTGTTAAAATAATCTCCTATTTTCTCTATTTGTTTATATTTTTTAAATAAATAGAAACTATTGTACTTGTAATAATTAAAAACAAGGATGAACAATTCACTTGCATGCTATTTTATATACTATTCTTAGTTCCTTGAATATATATTTTTCAAAATACCCTTCACTTTTTAGAGCAGCAGTAAGTGTACAGAAAAATTGTCCAGAGTTCCCATGTATCCCCTCCCCCCCCACCCCCCGCACCCTGTTTCTCCTGTCATTAACATCTTGAATTAGTGTGGTACATTTGTAACTGAACCAACACTGGAGTTCAGTAACAACTGAAACAATACTGTGTTCCGGAACCAACAATGCTGAACCAATGCTGGTACATTATTATTAACTAAAGTCTATAGTTTACATTAGTTACATTACAAAAAATCCCCAGAAAACCAAACTCGTTGCCATCAAGTCAGTTCTGACTCATAGTGACCCTATAGGACAGAACTGCCCCATATGGTTTTCAAGGAGCACCTGGTGGATTCGAACTGCCAACCTTTGGTTAGCAGCCACAGCTCTTGACCACTACATCACCAGGGTTTCCAGTTACATTACATCAATGTAACTGTGTTGTGAGTTACATTATAGGACCTTTTTAAAGTCTTTAAAGTTAGAAAGTAAAGATGTCACTTTAAGGACTAAGGTGCACCTGACCCAAGCCATAGTGTTTTCAATTGTCTCATATGCATGCAAAAGCTGGACAATGAATAAGGAAGATCGAAGAAGAATTGACACCTTTGAATTATGGTGTTGGTGAAGAATATTGACTATATCATGGACTGCCGAAAGAACGAACAAATCTGGCTTGGAAGAAGTACAGCCAGAATGCTTCTCAGAAGCAAGGATAACGAGACTTCATCTCACATACTTTGGACAAGTTAGCAGGAGTAATCAGTCCCTGGAGAAAGACATCATGCTTGGTAGAGGATCAGCAAAAAAGAGGAAGACTCTCAATGAGATGGATTGACACAGTGGCTGCAACAGTGGGCTCACGCATAACAAAGATTGTGAGGATGGCACAGGACCAGGCAGTGTTTCGTTCTATAGTACATAGGGTCACTATGAGTCAGAACCAACTCAATGGCACCTAACAACAACAGCAACAGGTCCCTGGGGGGCACGAGCAGTTTGCGATTGGCTGCTAACCTAAAGGTTGGCAGTTCAAACCCATCCAGCAGTGCTGTGGAAGAAAGGCCTGGCCATCTGCTTTTGTAAAGATTATAGCCAAGAAAACCGTCTGAAGCAGTTCTACTCTGTAACACATTGGGTTGCCATAATTTACATTAGGGTTCACTCTTTGTGTTGTACAGTCTTATGGGTTTTGACAAATGCATGTCAGTGACTACCATACAGGATAATTTCACTGCCCTTAAAATGCTCTATTTATTCTAATATTTGTTTTTTATTCAGTGCTGAATTTGTCTTTCAATAGTGAGAATGAAGTACTTGATTCCTTGAATGATACTATTAGGTGAATTAGACATTTATAGCTAAAGAGAGAGAGCAGGCTGCAGGGAGCAGTGTTGGTGGTGGCTCTGAGCTGCGGTCTTCAGTAGATGACAGGTGATACAGCAGGAGAGGAGCATGATGCATGGAAGGCCTTCCATGCCAGTCCTGATATGCTCTTTAGCTGACAAAGGCCACCAATGGAAGACAGTTGCTTTGTTTTCTACATACTTTGAAGCATAAATAGAGGTTTTTCGGGACTATTTAAAGTAATGGACCTGTACCAATAATTCTAAAATTAAACAGAACAATGTACAGTTGATGAGGTTGCACTTTTGTTCCAAATGAGACTCTATGTTTGTCTTTCTAAAATGTTTCTCTCATTTCATAGCACAACTTGGCATGATTTTTTTCTCACTCAGTAGAAAGTTCTATTAAAGAGGTTTTTAATTAAAGATGTTTTTCAGATCCGTAAGTTTTTTTCTGTAGACAAGGATAACAATAATAGACGCCCTTAAGATAAACTTGTAACAAAGAGAAATCCCAGGTGTGTCAGCCTCCAAAGGGGATGCTTTGGAATACCTGCTGTGTCAATATTTCATCTTGATGTGAAGGCATTTGGCTTTAGGGTGTCCCTGAAGTGCATGTTTATTTGGTTAACCAATCTGGAGAGATAATAAAGCTATGTTTTTCTCAGATGCAGAAGTCCTTGGATTAGGTAATTCTATCAGTGATTTTTCACAAAGAAATAATAAAAAGAATTTAAAATCTAAAATTTCATTTTTATGATTTATTAACGAATACATTTCTAATCATGATGCAGAATGAATTAACACTGCTTTATCACTGAATTTTAAGTTTAGTACATCTAGATCAGTTTTCAACCTCAGCATATTGATATTTTGGGCTGGAAAATTCTTTGTTGTGGGAGACTGGCCTCTACCCACTAGATATCAGTAGCCCCCGCACCTCCCCCCCGCCGCCGCCCCCTTTAGTTGTGACAATCAAAAGTGTCTCCAGATATTTCCAAATGTTCCCTGAAGGACAAAATCATCCCTGGGTGAGAACCACCGATTTAGATGTTTTTATTGTTGTTAGGTGCTATCGAGTCAGTTCCAACTCATAGCGACCCCATGTACAATGGAATGAAACACTGTCCAGTCCTGCAACATCCTCACAGTTGTTGCTATATTTGAGCCCATTGTTGCAGTCACCATGTCAATACATCTCCTTGAGGGTCTTCCTCTTTTTTGCTGACCTTCTACTTTACCAGGCATGATGTCCTTCTCCAGGGATTGATCCCTCCCGATAACATGTCCAAAGTACATGAGACAAAGTCTTGCCATCCTTACTTCTAAGGAGCATTCTGGCTGCACTTCTTCCAAGACAGATTGGTTCGTTCTTCTGGCAGTCCATGGTATATTTAATATTCTTTGCCAACACCATAATTCAAAGGCATCAATTCTTTTTTGGTCTTCCTTATTCATTGTCCAGTTCCTGTCTAAAGCACTTAAATTTTCCAAAGTAAAGAAGTAGCCCATAGTTTGTGTATCCATAAGAACATGCTCTTCAGATAAACTACCTTTATAGATGTGTCAAAGAGGGACCTAGTTTTATGATGCAAAAGTATATGCTACTGTATCCATTGTCACGCAACTGGCAGGGGTGGAACTATCAGCATGTTTAGATTATTCACATTGTAGTCAGGGATGGCCGAGACGATGACAGTCCAATTATGCTCTTATAAGCTGGATCAGGGTGTTCTGCTGTCAGAAGTGAATGATGGTTGGTTTTTATCAGTTTGTAGAAAATGCAAAAGTAATGGAAGGAATTTTATGGACATAAATAACGGACATTCACTCACTGTTGAGGGGAGACTATCTGGATATTTTCACGTAAGAGGTTGTTGTATATCGTTGAGATGCCAGGAAGCTCTCTGTATAGGCCAAATTGTGTTGTTGCTTTCTGTCCTATTACAGGCACACTGGGCAAAATACAGTCAAAACAACAAATAGTTTCTAAACACCAACTTTTTGAGAGGGAACCTGCTCTGCAGGCCTTGGATTCAGATGAACCTGAACTTAACTCCTGGCTTGGCCAATTTATTAAATGTGTGAACTAGCACCGATTTCCTAAGTTTTTTAATCTTCAGTTTCCTCATCTCTTAAATGGGCATGTGTTAGTGAGGAAAAAATATCGCCTCGTATAAAAAGTGCCTGGCAAACAGCAAATGCTTAAGAAATGGTAGCTGTTATTATCAATGAAAGTATTAGCAGGGTGCTCCCTGGAACTCTCTCTGTCTTGTTAAATGCTTTATGGTGTTTTATTTGTCTATTGCATGAATTTGTTGCAGTTGAGAATGTTATGGAGTTTGGTCCCACAATGGAAATAACACTTTATTTACCATGAAGAGGCTCTTACTTTCCTAACCACTGCATCTCCCTTATTCTTTTCTTTTAGGAGCAACTCTGACCCAGGCAGTGCCTGTATGTCAGCCCTGGGAGAAACTGCAGGATTCAAGATGTGTTTGTAAAATGCCCTACGAATGTGGGTAAGCTCTGTTGTTGCTTTCTTCTGTCAGTTTTATTTTTATTCAAGATAAACGGGGTAATTTCTTAGATGCTAGTCTCTTTTAGAAGGAGCCCTAGGGGCACAAACAGTGAAGTGCTTGGCTGCTAACCAAAAGGTTGGCAGTTTGAACCTGCCTAGCAGCTTTGTGGGAGAAAGACCTGGCAATCTGCTTCAGTAAAGATTACAGCCCAGAAAACCCTATGGGACAGTTCTGCTCTGTCACATAGGGTTGCTAGGAGTCAAAATCTACTCAAAGGCACCTAACAACAACAACAACAACAAGTCTCTTTTAGATTGAAGGCATTGCTTGCCACCAGCATAGTTAAGGATCTTTGCATTTCAGTGTGGCCCACTGCTGCCTGTTAATTTCCCTGCACCAGCAGGGCTGACAGCGGTGGCAGTAAGCACTGTTCTAATCTGGCTAGAGAGTAAGGCTGAAGGACCACTTGAGCACTGCTTATTTTATATATAAAATGGAGCAAAATGACAAAACCGTCACCTGAGGATTTACAGCTTTAGAAGATTAGGGCTAAAATTCCCATGGGACATGAACTCTTAAAGCAATACTGATAGAATAAAGAATAGCTGCTTTTCTGATTATTGACCCATAGGCTCTAAATTTGCATTATAAGAATGCTACCCAAGTTGATGCTTCCATAAACGGATACAACACTGAACGCCTTCACTCGTCTATGCCAAGAAATTTGGAAGACAGCTACCTGGCCAAGTGACCGGAACAGATACATATTTGTGCCCATTCCAAAGAAGGTGATCCAACAGAATGCAAAAATTATCAAACAGTATCATTAATATCAGATACAAGGAAAATTTTGCTGAAGATAATTAAAAATGGTTGCAGCAGTACATCAACAGGGAACTGCCAGAAATTCAAGCCAGATTCAGAAGGGAATGTGGAACAAGAGATATCACTGCTGACGTCAGATGGATATTGGCTGAAAGTGGAGAATAACAAAAGATTTTACTTGTGTTTTATTGACGCTGCAAAGGCATTCAACTGTGTGGATCAAAACAAAATATGGATAACATTATGAAGAATGGGAATTCCAGAACACTTAATTGTGCTCATGCAGAACCTATACATGGACCAAGAGGCCGTCATTGAAACAGAACAGGGGGATAGTGTTGTTGTTGGGTGCTTTTCAGTTGGTTCTGACTCATAGCAACCCTGTGTACAACAGAACGAAACACTGCCTGGTCCTGTGCCATCCTTACAATTGTTGCTATGTTTGAGCCCATTGTTGCAGCCACTGTGTCAACCCATCTCGTCAAGGGTCTTCCTCTTTCTTGCTGAAACTCTGCCTTACCAAGCATGATGTCCTTCTCCAGGGAGTGATTCCTCCTGATAACATGCCCAAAGTACCTGAGACAAAGTCTCTCCATTCTCGCTTCCAAGCAGCACTCTAGCTGTACTTCTTCAAAAACAGACTTGTTCATTCTTGCAGTATTCCATGGTCTATTCAATATTCTTCACCAACACCATAATTCAAAGGCATCAATTCTTCTTAGGTCTTTCTTATTCATTATCCAGCTTTCACACGCATATGAGGTAATTGAAAATATCATGCCTTAGGTCAGGCATACCTTATTCCTCAAAGTGACGTCTTTACTTTTCAACACTTGAAAGAGATCTTTTGCAGGAGATCTGCCCCATGCACTACGTCATTTGATTTTTTGACTGCTGCTTCCATGGGCGTTGACAAGAGGATACTGCGTGGTTTAAAACTGGAAAAGGTGTATGTCAGGGTTGTATCCTTTCATCATACTTATTCAATCTGCATGCTGAACAAATAATCAGAGAAGCTAGACTATATGAAGAAGAATGCAGCATGCAGCAACAGGACTGGAGGAAGACTAATTAACAACCTTTGATATGCAGATGACATAACCTTGCTTGCTGAAAGTGAAGAAAACTTGAAGTAGTTACTGATGAAGATCAAAGACTACAGCCTTCAGTATGGAGTACACCTCAACATAAAGAAAACAAAAATCCTCACAACTGGAGCAATAAGCAACATCACGATAAGCAAAGATTGAAGTTGTCAAGGATTTCATTTTACTTGGATCCATAATCAACACCCATAGAAGCAGCAATCAAGAAATCAAATGATGCATTGCGTTGCACAAATCTGCTGCAAAAGACCTCTTCAAAGTGTAATAAAACAAAGATGTCACTTTGAGGACTAAGGTGCTCCTGACCCAAGCCATAGTATATTCAATCTCCTCATATGCATGTGAAAGTTGGACAATGAATAAGGAAGACAGAAGAAGAATTGACACCTTTGAATTACGGTGTTGGTGAAGAATATTGAATATACCATGGGCTGCTAGAAAAATGAACAAGTCTGTCTTGGAAGAAGTACAGCCAGAATGCTCCTTAAAAGAGAGGATGGGGAGACTTCATCTCACATACTTTGAACATGTTATCAGGAGGGACCAGTCTTGGAGAATGACATCATGCTTGGTAAAGTAGAGGGTCAGTGAAAAAGAGGAAGACCCTAATGAGATGAACTGTCTTTCTAAAATGTCTGTTTCAGTCATAGCATAATTTGGGATGAATTTTCTCCCACTCAGTAGAAAACTTTATTAAAGTGAGTTTTAATTAAGAATGTCTTTCAGATTTGTAAGTTTCTTTCTGAAGAGAGGAGTAACAATGATAACTGCCGTTAAGATAAAATTGTAACAAAAGAGAAATCCCAGGTTTGTCAGCCTCCAAAGCTGATGTTTTAATATATCTGCTGCAACAATGGGCTCAAACGTAGCAAAGATTATGAGGATGGCACAGGATCAGGCAACATTTTGTTCTTTGTATATGAGGTCACTGTGAGTCTGAGCCTACTCCACAGCACCTAACAACAACAACCCAAGCTGAAATCACTCTACTGTAGGAAGATATGAGAAGTAGTTACTAGATGTCTGTGTTTCAGTCCTAGTAGGAAACAGATGGCACAATTAAATTAGGACAATAGGAGGTTAAGTAGGTAGATTATTTACAAATGTGTAGGCTGGGTAAAGGAAACCTCAAGCCACAGGGCAGTATCCCTGGGCTGGTAACAGCTGTGCTACATATCCAGAGGCCTGTGGGAGCAAGGAGAGCGGCATTTACAAACATCTGAAGACAGAAGGGCTATGTGGACCTGGCAGCTGAAAAGGAGCTGAGTCCCTCATTTTAGGAACCTCAGACATTGAGACACGACAATAAACACCCTCGCGCTAAAATCCTTCTCACTGACCAAATCCACCCAAAGCTAGAGGGCAAAGAATCCATTGACTTGATCCATACATGTCATCCTCCCAGGCTGAGTGGAGAGGGATGAAGAGTAGATCTGGAGAGGCAAATGGAGATACCCAACATTTCTGGACTTACTGCTCACCTTAGAAGAATTAAAGCACTAACTTTCTGACCAATTACTTGGCTTTCATTTGTGGCTATTATGGATAACGGTGCTGAGTTGTGATGATAACTTATCATAGGTAACTTCTTGTGTGAAGGAGAATATAACTAAATGGTGTAAATAGAAATGGTAGTCAGCCCAGGTTCATCCTGAGGTAGTATTCTAACTCTGCTGTTATTCTCTGTTAATCATTGTTTACTTTGATTCACTTTTATCCTCTTTCCGATGTGTCTAATAGTTAATCTGCAGCCTGTTGTTCACAGACATGGTGTGAATTTTTATATCATTTCTTGGTATCATATTAAGTACTGATAACAAGGAGGCACAATCTTTCAGTTGGTCTGAGTAGTTCTATTGAAAGTCTAAATAGAGATTAAAAGACAAATATGAGGATTAGTTTTGGTTATGTAAATAGCTTCAAGTAAATTTAGCTCTTAGTCAAAGAAGAAAATGTTGTGTGCCATCAAGTCGATTCCAACTAATAGCACCCTTATAGAACAGGGTAGAACTGTCCCATAGGGTTTTCTAGGCTGTAATTTCTAAGGTCTTTAAGATCATCAGGTCTTTTCTTCCACAGAGCTGCTGGTGGGTTCAAACCACTGACCCTTCCGATGACTGCTTAACCATTACACCACTGGGGCTCCTTAAGAAGAAAATATTAGAGCTAAATAAAATATGGGAATGTAGACTCTTCCTACTCCCCTTAGTATACAAAAATACTTTGTTATGTAAGATTTCACTACAGTCATGCTCTCTTCATCCATCATCATTCACAAATGTGATTCTTTATTATCAGTGACACTTTTAAATAGCTGAATCTCACAGTTTTAGCACTAATGCTTAAGAAAAATAAGCAACAAATTTTATGGAAATATTCTTAAACTATTTTGTAAACATACATACTTTTATAAGTAGTATTGAAAAATACAGTTTCATCTGTCCTTAATGATTTAGAGTCATCACTTGTTGGACAATGTGTATTATGGACATGGATCCTCAGGCTGCTGGATGCAATGAATTTCTCTTGCTTTTGATTGTAATCTCTTTGAGGGTTTGATCTTTGCTGATTTTCTGTCTCCTTCCTTGTTGTCAATCCACCTGCTGTCGCTAGCAGACCTTGCCTTCTTTTTATTTACTGTGTGTCATCTGTTCTAGATGAAACTAGACAGTTAAGCTTATAAAAACTGTGAGCAAACAAAGAGTAAATATGCTCATTTTGAAGATCTGAGGTGATTGGGCCTAGAAAGAAGGGGATTAGCATTTCCCTTCTGTCTTTTGTCTTTTGCTGTGGGTGATAACACTGGAGGCAGTGACCTCAGAGCCTTACTCTTAACTTCTTATCCTCAGCTTTTAACAATGGAAATCTTGTAAATACAGGTCGTCCCCAACTTACGAGGTATTCAAGTTACAATGAACAGCACTTAAGGACCATCCCTTTTTTTTTTTATACATCTTATCATTAGTAACACATACTACATACAATGTTGCAGTACATAATTTGCTGGTGTTATCAGAGTAACTATGCAAAGGCATTTGACTGTGTGGATCCTAATGAATTATGGATAACATTGTGAAGAATGGGAATTCCAGAACACTTAATTGTGCTCATGAGGAAACTGTACATAGACCAAGAGGCAGTTGTTCACACAGAACAAGGGGATACTGCGTGGTTTAAAGTCAGGAAAGGTGTGTACCAGGGTCGTATCCTTTCACCATACTTATTCAATATGTATGCTGAGCAAATAATCCAAGAAACTGGACTATATGAAGAAAAATGTGTCATCAAGATTGGAGGGAGACTCATTAACAACCTGCCTTATGCAGATGATACAACCTTGCTTGCTGAAAGTGAAGGGGACTTGAAGCACTTACTGATGAAGATCAAAGACCGCAGCCTTCAGTATGGATTACACCTCAACATGAAGAAAACAAAAATCCTCACAACTGGACCAATAAGCAACATCATGATAAACCAAGAAAAGATTGAAGTTGTCAAGGATTTCATTTTACTTGGATCCACAATCAATGCCCATGCAAGCAGCAGTCAAGAAATCAAACGATGTATTGCATTGGGCAAATCTGCTGCAAAAGACCTCTTTCAAGTGTTAAAAAGCAAAGATGTCACTTTGAGGACTAAGGTGTGCTTGACCCAAGCCATAGTATTTTCAATCTCCTCATATGCATGCAAAAGCTGGACAATGAAAAAGGAAGACTGAAGAATTGATGCCTTTGAATTATGGTGTTGGTGAAGAATATTGAATACACCATGTAGTACCAGAAGAAGGAACAATTCTGTCTTGGAAGAAGTACAGCCAGAATGCTCCTTAGAAGAGAGGATGGGGAGACTTTGTCTCACATACTCTGGACATGTTATCAGGAGGGACTAGTCCCTGAAGAAGGACATCATGCTTGGTAAAGTAGAGGGTCAGCAAAAAAGAGGAAGACCCTCAACGAGACAGATTGATACAGTGGCTGCAACAATGGACTGAAGCATAACAATGATTGTGACGATGGCGCAGGTCTGGCAGTGTTTCATTTTGTTGTACATGAGGCCGCAATGGGTCAGAACTGACTCAATGGCACCTAACAACAACAACATCATATCTGTAAGTTTATACGTAATGTTTCCAATCCCCAAAGACAAATAAAGATCAGATTTATAAAGATACTGATAATAAAAGGCAATAATAATTAAAACTAAAAAAAAAAAAGAGGTATTCGACTGACGTTAGAACCATTTATGACTGATATGTTGGAATGGATCCCCTTTGTAAGTTGGGGACTACCTGTAATATAATTTAAAAAAATTCTTTTCAGATCCTCCTTGGACATATGTGCTCAAGATGAGAGAAGCAAAAGAATCCTGCCTCTGACGGTTTGCAAGATGCATGTTCTTGCCTGTCGGGGTAGAAATTACACTCTTGCTAGCAGGGAGAGCTGTACTCTGCCGGCTGCAACCGAGAAAGCTTGTGGTGCATGTTCACTATGGGAAAACTGTGACGGTAAGAACATTTGTATTTTAACTGAAAGAATGCTAAATTAATAATACTGACATTTAAAAAAAAATGTCATTTCTAGTTTAGCACTGGATCAAAGTAGATCCCAGAGGATCTACTGGTCTGCGAGTGACCTGTTCTCCCCTACTCCAGTCCCTGGGAAGGGGGTGGCTCAGGTTCCTAAGAGGACAAGAACCACTCTCTGATGGCCTGAATGTCTTAGCAAATTTCTGTGACTCTTATTCCACCTCCACGATTTCTACTGTGTCCTTCTATTATCTATATTATGTATGTACTCATTTTCTATTTTAAATAGACTTTTTAAGAAATATAACTTTATTTTTTTAAAAGAAACTTTATATCACTTCCTTAAAAGGAAAGCCAATATTACTTGCCATAAATACTGTTGTTAGGTGCATGGAATCTTTTCGACTCATGGTGACCCCTGTGACAGAGGAGAACTGCCCTATAGGGTTTTCTAGGCTGTGATCTTTATGGAATCAGATCACCAGACCTATCTCCCACGAGAGGCTGGCCTGGGTTCGAACTGTCAGCCTTTCAGCGAGCAGCCAAGCACTTAACCACTATGCCATAAACACTAGGTAAGTGTAATAAAACAAAAAGGGTTTTAGATTCTAGCCAGATACTGCTGCTGGCAGAACTATGAGTTTGAAGGACACTCTTTCTTTGCCTTAAAGGGACTTCAGCAAGTGTTAGAGGGGTGTTAAAAGCATACTAGCACCAAAGTGACACTTTCTCAGAGCGGTAATCAGGATTTGAAGAGAATAGAAAAGGAATTACTTTCTCGTGTTGTGATTCAATATTTGCTAATGCTATGGCCAAGTAGCTCTTACAATGATCTCGAAGAAGGCATGGCACACTTTACAGTTCTGGCTATACTATGTGTCTCCTGGGGATTTTATTTTAAAATAGAGAAATCCTCAGGTTTGTCATGCATAAACTCACTTAGTTTATTGCAAGGTAGTTATGGCACAGCACACAGGTAAGACCCCATGACATTCATTTAGACCTGGAGAATCAGGACAGGGTAATGTTTGGCCAGTAACTAAAGCTCAATTCTTCAGCCTTCAGGTATTTACCTTTGACGAGTGGTCTTGGGAGGAAGGCTTGACCAGTGGCTTGTCCTTAGTGGAGGTCCCTCATAGCTGGGCCAGCAGGCAGTGTCCTTGGCAGGGGTGCTGGCAAAGTGTTAGTCTTCAGAGAGGGTCAGAGACTTGAGTGACCGAGTGTGGTTCTGGCTCTGCCTAGCTCTCATTCCAAGAGCAAAAAGCCTAGGTTTTTGTGTGGTTTGGTCCCTCTGGTCTGGTATGACCGGAGTCAGGTGAGGGGAGTTTAGCTCCCATCGCATCCGGGTGACTTGAGTCTTAGGTTCGTAATCAGGCGTGCCACACTGGGGTGTCTTCACACAGATAAACTAAGAGCTATGCCACACCATATCACAGCCAAGTAGGTGTTTACAACAAGGTAGCTAAATGTAATATTAAAAAGTATTTACGACAAAAAAGTTGTTTGTCAGTTTTAAATTGTTTGTAGCTTAGCTTAAATGCTCAAGTCGTACTTTACATGAACCCACTTAGCAACTTCGTGGGAGAAAGACCTGATAATCTGCTTCAGTAAAGATTACAGCCAAGAAAACTCCATGGAGTCGTTCTGCTCTGTCACGTGGATTCCTATGAGTCAGAATCGATTCAACAGCACACAACAACAACAACACATTCTAAGCCTGCATGGCAATATGAAAAGGGAAGGTCTGGATCACTGGAGCCAAGTCACTGCCCACAGTTTCTCCATCTGTAAATCTGGGAGCTGAACTATGTGATCCTTAAGGTCTCCGCTAGCTCTTCAGACCCTCCCTCTCCTGGCCTGTATGCGCTGGCCCCCTTTCCCCTCACGCCTGCCATGGTTTGCAGCACTGGTGATGACATATATAACTCCAGCCACACCTGGGTCTCTTGCGGTTGACAGTCACCATAGTCAGCTGGCTGACTTTGTTACTCTCCTTTTGGAGACACCTGGCTGGTGTATTCCAATTGCATACCTTAAGGGCACAGACTCCTTCCTCCCAAACTCATTTCTGATTTGTTTTTCTGGTGTATGTAACCTTTTGCATTTTCATACCCTCTCTCTCAAAGTAAGTTTAATTATTTTTTTATATCTCTCTCTGTCCTGGAAGGGGTCCCTGGGTGGCATAAACAGTTTGCGCTTGACTGCTAACAGAACGGTTGGCTGTTTGAATCCAGCCAGGTGCACCATGGAAGAAAGGCCTGATGATCTGCTTCCATAAAGATTTACATCCAAGAAAACCCTGTGGAGTAGCTCTAGTCTGTAACACGTATGGTTGCCATGAGTCAGAATTGACTCTACTGGCAATGAGTTTTTTCTGCCACTGACACTCAGTTATTTGCTGAGGTCTTTTCATTAGGCCTGGGGGTTGGAGGACTACATTCCATTTTTGGCTCACATTTACTGCAGCATGTATGAAGAGATGGGAGCCCTGGTGGTGCAGTGGTTAAGCAGCTCTGCTGTTAACGGAAAGGTCGGCGGTTGGAACCTTCTGCAGGAGAAGGATGTGGCAGTCTGCTTCCAGAAAGATTACAGCTTTGGAAATCTGTGGGGCAGTTGTATTCTGTCCGATAATGTCTCTATGAGATGGCCACAGGTTTGGTTTTCGGTTCAGTATGAAGAAAAACCCAAACCCATTGCAGTGGAGTCGATTCCGACTCATAGCAACCCTACAGGACAGAGTAGAACTGCCCCATAGGGTTTCCAAGGAGCACCTGGTAGATTTGAACTGCCAACCTTTTGGTTAACAGCCATAGCTCTTAACTGCTGTGCCACCAGTGTTTCCTTAATGTGAAGAGAGGGCTGGAAAGACCTGGACTTAAATAGAGCTGCCCATGCTGATCCTATTTATTCTGAGTGGAGCAAAAAGCCTCAATTTCCTGGTCTACTGCTCTTTCAGGGGTAGTTTATTGTATCACTAGAGGCGGGAGCTTCTGCAGCTCTTTAATCACCAAATCGTTACATTGGAAGTGGTGTGCTTCACTCCCACACCTCCACGATGTGCCATTAAGCCTTTCCTGTTTTTCCAGCCCACAGCAGCAAATGTGTCTGCCGAGAAGCCTCGGAGTGTGAGGAAGAAGGGTTTAGCGTTTGTGTGGAAGTGAACGGCCAGGAGCAGACTATGAGGGAGTGCGAGGCTGGAGCCCTGAGATGCCGAGGGCAGAGCGTCTCCATCACCAGCATCATGCCTTGCGCGGCGTAAACCCAGTAGGCTCCTGAGTGCGCTCGTGGCCTTGCTCGGAAGCCTGCAGCCAACTGTGGCGGAGCAAAAGCATGTGCATAACCGGACGCTTTTTCTTTCAGACAGCGTTTCCAGCACGGAGGCACGTTCCGCTTCTCAACTCCCAGCCATGTGTATAATAAGCACAACTCTTTGTTCTCTCAAACCCAAATCCAGATACTCTTTTTTCAATTTTTTCTTTGTTTTAACGTTAGGACTTAGGTTTGTATGAACTGTGTGTTATTGGAAAAAATTGCCAACTTCTCTAGACCTTAAATTTCTTAATCTGTGGAATTAGACTAGAGAAACTGGAATGTTCATTCGGCCCTGTGATTCTGTTAAGTATGATTGATCCAGCACCTGGGCCAGAACACACTTTACAAATTGATTAGGAACAAAGAAAGAACATGATTGCCTGATTAGAGAGGTTGACTTCCCTGAATGAAACCAAATACAAAGGAGATCTTGGATGAAAAAAGACAGACTCAATGATTTCCATCCCAAGTAGTAAACTCACAATTCACCTTATTTAATCAAGCACCACATGGAGGGGGTCCCAGGCCCTGTTCTTGTCAGGAGACTGAAACACTTAGATGTCATGCTGTGGTCATGGTGCCATCTGCCTTCTTGTCTGAGAATAAATACAATTCAGTCTTCTCTTTGGGGGGCTTTTCTTTAGTATGTGTCAAACACAAGGCCTGCAATTTGACCTTTTTTTTTTTTGGATGAAAGCATCAGTTCATGCTTAGCTACTACATGTGACTGCATATTGCAGAGGACAGGTTTCCCTAATACAGACTCGCTTCTAGATTTTTCAGGGGTAACCAGGTAGGTGAGTTTGAAGCAATGGCCTTCTATTTATTTCTTATTCATCTCTCATTAAAACAACAAAGCAGCTGTGGGAGGTGAAATGAGTGGGTTTATATGCAATTTGAAATGTGCTGTTATATGCAAATAATATCGCTGTATTTTTCTTTTACTGATAAATACACTTTAGCAAAACTTTAGTTAAAATGGCAGTGATTAAAAAACTCATTAAAGATACTATTCTCTGGATTTTTATTATGTTTCTGTTTAGAGATTTTTTTCCATGAGGCATGATTACTGTGCTCTTCCCTGAATTGTTATGTCTGATCCAGACTCAGCTTTTTATATCAAATTGTCCCTTGAGAGAAGATTCAGATATAATACATGAACGGTACAAAGAAGCAGGTTTAAACTGAAGGAAAACTTCATAACATCAGACAATGTTTAATCAAAGCCAATTGCATTGTCAGAGGTATTATGTAATTAATTTATTCCCCGGGTAACCAGGGAGTTGCCATCTAGATGAATTTGACTCAGTTCGACCCTATGTGTTGCAGAGTAGAACTGCTCCATACAAGGTCGGATTAACTAGTATACAAGGTACGGACGGGCTTACATTAAGCAAGGTATGTACGGGCTTACTTGTGTTTACTTACTTATCTGTAGTGAAGAGGGAACAATTTCACGTGGGTTTCACCGCCTCTTTGAAAAACAGGTGAAATTGTGCACTACAGATTAGTAAGTAAGCACAAGTAAGCCTGTGCATATCCTGCTTATTGGGTAATATGTCCCTGGCTCCATAGAGTTTTCAAGACCATGATCTTCCGAAAGCAGAGTGCCAAGTCTTTCTTCAAAGGCACCTCTGAGTGGGTTCGAACTGCTAACCTTCTGGTTGGTAGTTGAGCACTTAACCGTTTGCGCTTACCTAGGGACTTCACACCCTGGGGAGAGGGCTAGATTTGAAAACCCCAGGCCCAGATGCAGACCCTGAGGCAGGAGATTTGAGAAAGCAGTTTCAGCTAAGTTAGAGAAGTAGACGATTAATCCAACAATGGACTCGAACATACCAATAATCATGAAGATAGCGCAAGACCGGGCAACATTTTGTTCTGTTGTATGTAAGGTAGCCACGAGTCAGAGCCAACTCTACAGCAATTAACAACAACAGCAAAGTGTTAATAGTTGGTGAAGAAAGAGGGGAGCAGTGAATGTAATTATAGAGAGATCTCTTTTGAAATACTAATTTTGGGGCTTTTTCTTCTTTTCTGGACACTCTCGTACTCAGACTTTCCTTGAGTCAGAGAGAGACATTCACGTTGTCTATTGGAGAATTAGGATTGCTGCAGCAGGTCTGCAAGAAGAAAGTAAGTTCCAATTTTAAGTTTTTAAAAATGTTTAAAAACTTCCAAAATAAGTAAGCATCTAAAGAGAAGGCTTTGAGGAAAGCTGAGGGTATGGCTTACGCCATGAAAATAGACTGGAACAAGAATAGAGGGAATGTTAGATTTCTCCTACCTAACCTTCCTCTGGAAAACTTGGTGGTGTAGTGGTTAAGAGCTACAGCTGCTAACCAAAAGGTCAGCAGATCAAATCCACCAGGCGCTCCTTGGAAACTCAATGGGGCAGTTCTGCTCTGTCCTTTAGGGTTGCTATGGGTCGGAATCAACTCGACAGCAACGGGTTTATGGGTAACCTTCTTCTGGAGTCCCTAAGTGGTGCAAATGGTTAATGTGCTCGCCTGCTAACCAAAATGATGGCGGTTTGAGTCCACTTAGCGGTGGCTTGGAAGAAAGACCCAGCTACTTCTGAAAAATCAGTCATTGAAATCCTATGCAGTGCAGTCCTACTCTGACACACATGGGGTCACCATGAGTCAGAATGAACTCTGTGGCAGCTGATACTGCCTCAGGCCAGGTGAGTGTCACATGAACTAGGATAGGACCCAGCCTTGGAAAAGAAGGCAGAAAGCAGTGCTGGGATTAAAGTCGTCTGGAACAGACAAAAAAGAAGAGAAGGGAATTAGCTAGTGCGCGAACCATCATTTACTTTAGGGAGATACATGGAAGGCAAGCCAGGTCCTGCAGACCATTGCTCACCCTTTAAGTGGGACTGCAAATCACTGGGCAGACCAGCCGCTTTGGCAGGTCTTCTAATTGCATTTTGGAGGGTCTTTCTGTGACACCGCATACATTTCCTAATAATTGATCAGCAGAAGTCCTGCTCATCAATGCCCTGAGATTTGAAGAGCCCCATCCAAAATGCTCTGTGTGCAACCTCCCCACCCCTACCAACAGTCCAGGATACTGGGAATCCCCTTAAAGCAGAGGGAAGATTATTGACTTTGAGGTGGGGCATGGTGGGGATGAAGAATGGCAAGCAGGACTATCTGACAAATGGTCCCTGGAACTCTCCCGAGTCACCTGGCAACTAGCCTGGTAACTGGCTTCCTCTCTCAGCCAGACAGCCCATGCCCCATCTCAGCTTCACATGGGACTGTGGTTTCCCTGCCCAATTACTGAGTAGCTGCCCAGGGCTCCATTTCCGGGCAGCTGGTTTTCCTATCATTCCCTGAAACAGCTGGCCCTTTTCCTGTTCATATAGATCACATTTCCTTTTGGTTAAAATCAAGTATGTGTACATTTCAATATTATTGATTCCTATAGTTAATTCTCTATTCTACATATTCTTTCTGTTCCTACCCAAGTTTCTTATACTCACATACGCTCACACTTATATACCCCCCCCAATGTCTTAGTTATATACTGCTGCTAGAACAGAAATACCGCATGTGGATGGCTTTAACAAAGAGAAATTTATTCTCTCACAGTCTAGGAGGCTAGAAGTCTGAATTCAGGGTGCCAGCTCCAGGGGAAGGCTTTCTCTCTCTGTCAGCTCTGGAGGAAGGTCCTTGTCATCAATCTTTCCCTGGCCGAGCAGCTTCTCAGCACAGGGACCCCGGGTCCAAAGGACACCCTATGCTCCCAGTGCCTCTTTATTGGTGATGTGAGGTCCCCTGTCTTTCTGCTGGCTTCTTTCTTTTATGTCTCAAAAGAGATTGATGTAAGACACAAGCTAATCTTGTAGATGGAGTCCTGCCTCATTAACATAACTGCCTCTAATCCTGCCTCATTAACATCATAGAGGTAGGATTTACAACACATAGGAAAATCACATCAAATGACAAAAC